CCAAAATTTATATCCTGCCGGTGTGCACTTTCATTTTGTGTCAGTGTGATGTTAGGGTAATAGTTTACAGTTTACACAGACATAAAATGTTAGTATAAACAAGTTTAATCACACTAACATTTTGTACTAATGTGAACTATCAAAATATTAGTGTATTTTTTTGTATAAAAGTATATTTTTTGGTGCAAGTGTAGCATGATTATATTTTCTTTCTTGAAAAAGAATAGGCGAAACATAAAACTTATTTCAAAACGGATAGACACAGCCATCTCCATTCTCCAAGCCTAGGCGAACTAGACATTGGCTTAGGGCCCCTAATTTTTTAGAGCACCAAAATTAAAAAAATGTATTCCTTATTGAAAATATTTCTCTTTTTTATCATCCATTCTAAAAAACATTTCTCATTTTTATTAGAAAGTCATTTTTACTTCTATTAATTCTTAACTTACATACCCCATTACATCCATTCACTATTAATTTACAAATCAAGTTCTACTTTAATCATCACATCCGGAGACATTTTTGGAAATTCAACATCAAAATACACTCTCCTTAAATTCTTTAAAAATCAAAATCTTCCATGTTTTCGGGGACTGTGGGAGTATTTATTAACATACCACAATATTACGGTAATAAATGTGTTAAACATCTTATTGGCTAAATATTGCGTGTTAACGTTACAAGTCTTGATCGTTTTTATTTTTAATCTAATTTCTTTGCCAATCATGGAATATAACTATCATTATTTAAATCACGTTTCAAGTCAATACTAAAAAAGAGAAATTTGATTTTGGGAGGAGGGAGTAATTTTTTTTCTACGATTTGATTAATTAAATAATGATATGAAGTACCTGAAAAAATAAGAAACAGTCAAATCATGAAAGAATATTTTGAAAATTGCCCTAAAAGAAATCTTGAAAATTGGCCAGCCTGCACATTATAATATTATTCCGTTCGTATTTGCTGTCACATTTCAATTCTATGCCACACTTTAACTCCCTTCAACAGCAATAATCTTCCATGTGCCAAGACATGAAAAATTGGCACTGTATGCTTTTTTTTGTTCAGTCTACTTGTCACAAAAATTAAATACTTTATTCGTCTCTAAATAGATTACAATTTTTTTTCTCTTCTCTCAATAATTTTTGTTTGTGTACGCGATTTCATTAAATACTTGATAAAATAAAATATTCTTGTCATCTCTTGTTTTGTAGAACTTTTGACGTATTTTTTAATATGTAATTTTTATATCTTACTGATATACCAAATTGTAAATAAAATGATTTCAATAAGTAGGACATTTTTCTCCGTAATCCACAATTTGTAATTAAATTAGGGACGGATGGAGTATTAGTGATAGGGTTGGATATAAATAATACTGTCACATCCTTTGTCTTAAAATATTTGTCACATTATGGAAAATAAATTAAAATTTATTTTATTTAAAGATCGGTATAGAAATAAAAAATAAAATTTACATATTTAAAAACCACGTCAAAAGTTTTTCAATGCAAGAGATAACGATGATATATTTTAATCAAATAATTAAAGAAAGCGCACAAATGAAAAAAATATGTGATTTTTGAATAGTGAACTGTTGCATTCCTTTTAGAACAAAGAGATATGGGAAAATAAATAAATATTTAAAAACATGATTAAAAAAATTGATTTAAATAGAACAAACATAGTGGCACTAATTTTCCTTAATTAAAATGAGACGTGAAATAATTTATAAGACAATCTGAATAGAAAAATAATCTTGTAATATAAGTAGATGATTTTTCTACCATTTTTCTTAAGCAACAATCACAAAAAATGTGACACAAGTTAACAACCAAAAAGTTGACATAAACATGTACTCGTAATAGTTACTTATATGACAGAGAGAACCAATAGATTAATTACTAAAAGTATATGGGAATAAATATAATCCCTATTTCTTTAACTAAATTTTACATTTTTCTATTTTTATTCTTCCAAGTTAAAGTTTTTTTTAAAACTAGATATTTAATTTAATTTGAAAACAGGTAAAATATTTCGTAGAAGAGACAAAATGAAGCAGGGTGTGTGAAACATTCTCCGTGAATTAAGAATAAAAGTGCTTGCCGCTACATATATCTATTCTATTCTTCTTATCCTAGGGTTTGTCGTGTTGACTATCAAATTTAAATCATTAATTCCTTTTTTTGGAAAAAATGAATATGTAATTTGTTGGATTTAGATAATGAATAACACTGCGAAGCAGTGTTAAACGAAGAACTCGATAGAATAACGAATCGCGTACGAAACACTTTCAGATCAAAGTTATTTCGGGGTATACGAAATACTTCAATCGGATAAGACGTTAATTCAGAACAAGCACTCGAGAATCTATACCTCAACCCATACCACGAGACTCTATTTTATAGAGTCGAAAATCCTTGTGATCGGACATGAACGTTCGCGTAGATGTACGCGTACGTTCGCGCAAGAAGAAAAAGGTGCGAGTTTGAACGAAAGGTCTCTTGCGGTTGAAGGCTTAATTTCGACGTTTATCCATTATGTACGAGTCCTTTACCGTTTTGGACTCCGGTCACGAAAATCTTAAGGATTTTCTTAAAGAAACAACGTCCGAAATAAAAAATTTCCAAGCTGCCCCCAGGGGCTCTGCCCCTTGGACCCCGCTACCCAGGGGCTGCCGCCCCCGGACCCCCGCTATCCCAGGGGGCTGCCGCCCCCGGACCCCTGCAGTGAATTTATAATATCGTTGAACGAGCGCGCACTCCGCGCCTCCTAACTCGTTTAACAATGTCTATTTAAATTCTTGTCCGATCAAAGTAAATCCAATTACACAAAATAAATTGATGACACTAAAATCACCAACATAATTCACAAAATTCTCTCCCATCGAATTAAATATTTTTTAATATTATTATAGACTTCTTATAAAATTTCAAAAAAAAGAAAAGAAATAGTCTTCTTATATTTTGTAAACTCAAACTAATTTTCTTTTTGTGGGATGAGAGAGTAAAAAAATTGATAAGAATCATCTACTATCATTACAGTTTTCGTTTTTAATAATCTTAATTTGGTGAATTTACTAGTTACTCCTATTTTATTATATTTTCTATTATGTGTTTGGTCTTTTCAAAATAATCATTGGTAAGTGGGTAACCGATAGCATGTTCTACTGAAATTGAATTTGCAAAAAAATTGAAAAACAACCATAGCTTCATTCATTTTCAACAATCCACCTTTGTTTCTGCGTCAACCACGATTAACAATATTACGAAATAATTACAAAAAAGTTTGTGAAATGATATACTCTACTAGAGTTTTTTATACAAATATTATAGTACGTGTAATTTAATTTGTAAGAGCGTGTTTTATTTAATTTAGGGAAAATTCACAAGAATACTCCTAAAAATACGATCTTTTAGGAAAATACTTCCTGATTTGATAATTAACAACATTGCTCCCAACTTTTTTATATTTTCACGTTGTTGCTCTCACTTGCTCGGTTAGTTCCTATGTGGAAACAAAACCTGACTTAGCTTGTATTTTGAATACTCTTTTTCCATTTTAGTTTTATTAAAAATGGGAGTCTTAAGTCTTTCTTAATATGCATTGGGCAATAAGACACTTGAGTTGAACCACATTCCGGCCAATCGATTAGTTAGTTCAACTCAAGAGCTCATATACCGATTATTTTGCTTTTGAGCTTTCGATGTGGGATGACACTCTAACACTCCCCCTCAAGTGGAAAACCTGGTCATTTTGAATCTAATCGGTTGACCACTTGCAAATGAACTCCCATTTCCTTGACTTTTTTTTAGCGCCAACATCTAAAGGACCACGAGCCGCTGGGTATGGACTTCCAGACGAGCAATCATGTTAAACGGGACACAAGCCGTTGGGTACATACTCCATACGGACAATTGGCCGGGCTAAAGACTAACGGGACGCTAGGAATGAACGTCTAGATGGACACCTTGACAAATGAGGTGAGCCAAAACCTGCTCTGATACCATGATAGAATTTAGGATGAGGTATGGACAACTGGATTAGGCAATAAGACACTTGAGTTGAACCACATTAAAAGATTGAATCCAATCGATTAGTTAGTTCAACTCAAGAGTTTATATATCGATTATTTTGCTTTTGAACTTTCGATGTGGGGTGACACTCTAACAATTTCCCTGGTCAAATTTAAAATGTTTATTAGTACTCCATCTATTATAAAATAATAGTTTGGGTTTGATTATCCACGGAATTTAATAAAGTAAAATTATATAATTGAAAATGATGTAATTAGAGTAATTACCTATACCAAAAAATATAGTTTGAACTTCTCCCCTGACTAGAGTGGTAGGAAGCTCACTCCTCAGGATTAATGAGGAAGTTCACCCAAATTCGAGCCCCAGAATTGAAGCAGAAGCATTGACTCTTTAATTTGTACATTATTAGGTTGAGAATAGTATGAACATATATTACCTTGTAATAGAGTCAATAGCAGAATAATGGTAGTGTAGTGTAAGAGTACGCATTGAGAGTGTGATGGAAAAGTGATGACAGTGTAATACAGAGTATATCAGTATGACCTTTAAACCGTTGGTGATCTGCGGCGGCACTCTAGTGGCCGGTGGCAAAAGATGGCAGTGTGACGGTGATAGTCTCGCAATTACAATGTGATAGTGTGACATTGTAGCAATGTCAGTGTGAACTCCTATTTTGGTCTTAAAAGACTTATGACTCCTATTTTAGAATTTTTATAGTTTTTACTCCTATCTAGAAAATTCTCCATTTAATATAATTTTGTGTGTTAAGTAATTAAAAGACCTAGGAAACTCATTTTTAATAAATTTAAAATGAAAAAAAATACTCAGAATACAAGTTGATTTTTTTTACATAATAGCTGACCCAGCAAGTGGGGAGTAATTTAAGCAAGTTGGGAGCAATGTGTTAATTATCAAATTTGGGAATAATTGCATAAAAATTCATATTTTTTAGAGTATCCATGCGAATTTTCCTTTAATTTAATGTTTACATTTTAATGTAGTTACACAGAGTAAAACATAGAAAATAAAAATAGACAACTAAAAACGAAAGATGTTTAACTAGGACTAAAAAAATACTTTGGGCCTATTCTTTTTTTAAAAAAACAAAGAAATCACTTCATTCAACCAAAAAAGGCTGTACAAAATCAGGCGGAGTCACAAACCAAACCCCAGCCTTCATCACAACTCTTTTAGCCAACACATGAGCTAACACATTAGATGTCCGAGGGACAAACGACAAAGTAGCATAATTAAACTCAGATAACAAGCCTCGACAATCACTAATAACCGAACCAACATAAGACAAAAAAACAGACTCTCCATTTATTGCTTCCACAACCCTAGAGCAATCTGAGAACACCTCCAACTCCGTAAGTCCTTGCTCCCTCGCCCAACCCAAAGCCCTTCTACATGCCATCGCCTCTGCTAAACCTGGATCAGTCTCACATACTAATTCTCCATTCAACGCAGCAAAGAAAGAGCCATCATGGTTAAAGAGAACACACCCAAAGCTAACCATAGAAGAAGGGAGGAATAAAGCTGCATCCACAAACAATTTGAAAGCTCCTGATCTTACCGGCCTAGGAGATGGTAAAGGCAGCCCAACCACCCGACTAGAAGCACTCATAGACCAACTTTTTTGAGTTTCAGTAACAAGACATACCGTGATCGAGGGTGTAGGAACTTGAAACCGCCAAACTGCAGCATTGCGGGCTTTCCAAAACGCCCAAATAGCCAAAGCAAACAGCTGCAACTCTGACCGAGAGGTTGTCTGCACCACCTCTCGAAACCAGGCATGAGCCGAAGTGCTCCCTTCACGAATAACACGCAAACCCAACCGGGCCCAAATTGTCACCGCATAAGGACAATGAAGGAATAAATGCTCAACCGTCTCCTCACCCAAACCACAAATAGGACATACACTCACAATGTTAAGTCCCTTAGTGTTAAGGTTAGAGATGGTTGTCAAAATATTTTTGATAGCTCGCCATAGACAAACCTTGATTTTTGGTGCAACTGGGATATGCCAACAACATGTCCAGTTCACCTCATTTGCTGCCGCTTCAACCTCTCCAACATGCCTCCTATAGCCATCCTTAACACTGTAGCCTCCATGCAAAGTACCAGCCCAGAACCACCCATCCTCGTGTGAAACAGAGAAAGGGGTTCTCAAAATTCTGTCCGCAACTATCAAAGGAAACCACTGCCGCACCACCTCCATTCTCCAACAATTGCTTCCCTCATCAATAAGGAAGTGTGTCGGCATGTTTGGCATAAACGGTGGTGGTGATGAATCCACAACTGAACTACCATGACTCGCCATCTAAGGAGGACCCCAAATCAGAGTTTTCCTCCCATCTCCAATTCGTCGCCTAACTCCAGCTCTTAGTAGCTCTTAGGCTGCAAGGATGCTCCGCCAACAGTAGCTCGGATTAGAGCCTAACCCCGCCTCAAGAAAGGAGGATTTTGGGAAGTATCTTGCTTTAAACACACGTGAAACCAAAGCCTTCGGTTGCATTAGAAATCTCCACCCTTGCTTTCCCAACATCGCCACATTGAAGCCATGAAGCTGCTTGAAACCCAGACCTCCAAATTTTTTAGGGATAGTTAAGCGTTGCCAAGACATCCAATTGATACCGGTAGAATTCATCCCCTTGCCACACCACCAGAAGGAGTTCATCATTCGTTCAATGGCCGAACACAATGACCGTGGAAGTAAAAAAACTTACATGGCGTACTGGGGCATCGCCTGTGCTACAGTCTTTAAGAGGACCTCTTTCCCTGCCCGTGAGAGTATTTTTTTTCCCCACCCAGTAAGCCTGCATCGAATCTTATCTGCAATATAGGAAAACACTTCATTTTTGTTCCTCCCTAAAAAAGAGGGCAAACCAAGATATTTTCCAAAATCCTTCGACTGAGTAACTCCAAGGAAAGAAGAAAGTCCCCCCTTAACAGCATCATTTGTGTTGGTACTAAAACAAATATTAGATTTATGAAAATTCACCATCAGCCCCGAACTACGTTCATAATCATCGAGACATCTCTTCACCTCTCGAGCCTCCTCTTCAGTGGCCTTAAATAAAATAAGGCTATCATCAGCGAAAAGAAGATGAGAAATAGGAGGAGCCCCACGAGGCACTCTAATACCATGCACTAAGTGTCTTCGTTCTGCATCCTGTAAGAGAAAAGAGAGGCCCTCTGCACATAAAATAAACAGATAAGGACTAAGGGGATCACCCTGACGCAAACCCCTAGTCGGAATGATAGGCTCTGAAAGAACTCCATTGACAAGGACTCTATATCGGACTGAACGTACGCACAACATTATTAGATTGATCCAGTCTCTGTCAAAGCCCAATTTAAATAACATGAACTCTAGAAAGTTCCATTCCATGCGATCATAAGCTTTGGCCTATTATTTTGGTTTTTAGCAATTCTCTTCAGTTTCTTTCAATTACTTCAATTTCAATATCTGCTAACAATGACTTAAAAAACTTTCATTTTTGTCTCTTTTACCAAAATACTTTCACTTTTGTCTCTTTAATACTTCTTCTGTTTTTGAAATCTCTTCCTCTTTCATTTTTCTCTCTTTTACAAAAATACTTTCACTTTCTATTAAATTTACTTTTATCCCTATTAAATTCTTATATTACCTATGATATCATACTTTTTCACTAATAATTTACTCATCACCTTTTACTTTTATCCATCACATAAAAGGTAAAATTGAAAAATAAACTATAATTATACACTCATTATCTCTCTCATTAGTCAAAATAGGATGTGTTTTGGTAAACGAATGAAGCATACAATAACATCATATATTTAAATTTATAACATACTACCTCAAGGGCTCAAACATGGACAAATTAAAGATGAAATTTTTTATCCAAAATTAGATTTTTTACATATTTATTTGGATGACCATTTAATTGAAAAAAAGCTGCCTAAATAGGAGTAAAACATAAAAAATGCTAAAATAGGAGTTTCGTTTTTTTATTATCAAAATATGTTTGCACAGTGATAATGTGTCATTGTATATGGATATTTTATCTATACCTTTTGGTATTATACAGAAGCATGATTGACATTGTATCTACATTTTAACTCGTAGTTTGATTTTTTTTAATTTTTACTCCTACTTTAGTCTTTTTCCTTAATTAAATGATTTTTTAACACTTTATTTTTCTACATTTTCCAAAGTATTCCTTTCCGTTTTTGTGACTCTTTCTAGTTTCTTCCAACTTTTTCCAGTTTCTTTCAAAATCAAATTTTAAAATTTCAAGTAAAAGAATATACCCTTCATATGCCAAAATAATAGTTTCAATATTTTTATATGAGATGACTTATAGTGGCAATAAATAATGCTAAAACTAATGTGAAATACCAATACATAATGTCAAATTATAGACATTTATGATGTAAATAATCCTTTTTATAAAATAAAATATAATTAGTCTTATTTTAGTATAGTATGAGTTTATTATTTTGATCTTATTTAAACAAATTTAGTCAAATTTTTGGGCAAGATCGACTTCAATCACAAATATGGTTGATTAAAGAAGAAATTAGACCAAAAGACAATCAAGTTAGAGAGATTAGAGAAAAATACCACAAACAATAAAATTAGTCAAAATATACTCATTATCACATCTATTTCACAAAAATAATACTCCATAAATGTTGATTCCGTAAAATTACATCATTGTGCCCCGTATAATATACCGAAAAGAGAAATGCTAGAGTCACAAACATTTCGGTCACAAAATATACAAACTTACCATTTGTGTATTGAAATATTCACTTTTTAATTATTCAACACCATTTCATTCATTTAGTGAGGTGCACAAATGGCAAGATTGTGTATTTTGTGATCGAAGTGTTTGTGACTCTAGCATTTTCTACCGAAGATATATGTCCTTGACACAAATTCAAGGATTCATTTCCTTTGACAACAATTTTAGCGTTTATTTTAACATTCATAAAAATGCTATGTATACATAAGTCCGCGTTAATTAAGCTAAAATATTTAAAACGCCAATATTAAGATTTTTGGATCTGAATTCGAGATTTTTGAAGAAGAACACAAAATATCCGATCCTTTCAACCAAAAAATATGAAACTTTCATTAGTTGTGTCGATCAGGAAAGAGCATGAAATTTAATTACTACAGTACATAATACATTTAATCCCGGCCACTTCAAGAAATTACAAAAAAAAAAAAATTTGAAAATCATATCATCACTTAGTACAAAAAAAACCCTCATGAAGAACATCTTAATTAAAATAAGAATAAATAAGGCTGATCGAAAGATCTAATGAAAGGGTAATTAAAATTGTATTAATTATATTAAGCAATAGCTTAATTAATTAATTACTTATTAAGATGTGCAGTGGGCATTGAGAAGTCCATGCCAAGATGATCCAAACCCACCCATATTTCCTCCCCCTCCTCCCCCTCCAACTGATTGCCATGGAAATGACCATAATAACCCCCTTCCATTCTCAACCTCACCTCCATTATTGTTGTCACTATTTTTGTCATCTCTTCCTTCTGCTGACGTGGCAGCCCCAATCCCCTCCAGGTGCCCCCCATCATACGCTATCCCCATCTCAAGACCGCCCACCGCGCCGCCACTCTCCACCCCCACGCCGCCGCCGCCGTAGAACAAGTTCTGGAACAGTCCCGTGTTCCCCGCCGCGCCGTCGAAGTAGCCGCCGCCGCCGAAGGCGGCGCCGGCGGCATTGCCGAGGTTGCACATCATGGGCAGGTCGTCCATCCCGAGACTGGTCTGCTTCTGGAGCCGGGCGATCGCGTAGCTGAGATTGCTCGGCTCGTAGGGCAGCGCCCCCACCCCTGCCGCCCCACCACCCAGGGTGGGGTGGGGCGGGAAGGGGTTGGGGCTGGTGCAGAGGGACTGGTCCTGGCTGCGGGACCTCGACGACGGCCTCCGGTTCTTCCGGCACCCTCCGCCGACCGGGACGTTGCGGAGGGTCCCGCCCTTGGTCCAGTACCTCCTGCACGACTTGCAGAAGTATCTGGGCTGGGAGAGGCTGTAGTTGTTGTAGTAGCAAAACTTGGTGTTCGCGGAGTCGCACCGGGGGCATTTTAGGGTTTGCCCGTCCGCCGGCCTCGGCTTCTTCTCCAGCTGCCGCTCCTGCTCCCGCTCCCGCTCCTGCTTTCCGCACCCCAACATGCTTCCGAGTGTCTGGGTGGCCAATTCCTACATATCAAAAATAAAACATTATAAGAACACTGTTTAAATCAATTCATATTTGTCCCATTTTTTTTCATCTGAGTTTTTTTTTACCTGGGCAATGGAAGGATCCATCATCATCCCTATGGGGAATGTGACTTCTGAATGATGAAAATAAAGAGTGATATATAGAAGATACAAAGAGAGTTGTTAATAAGGCAAAGGTTGTCTGTTACAAAAACATTCTTGGAGACAATATATATATATATATATATATATATATATATATATATATATATATATATATATATATATATATATATATATATATATATAGAGAGAGAGAGAGAGAGAGAGAGAGAGATGGATAGAGATAGAGATGGGGAGAGAGAGAATAGGTGTGAAGGGGTAATAATTATTCAAAGGGGTATTATGGGGATGCGTGTATTGTGGGTATGAGATTGGGACTAGAGAGAGAGGGGGGGGAAATATATAGGAATCTCTTGTTTTCTTTTCTTTTGGTAGGAGATGCCCTTTTGTGTAATCCATTTGTACATCACTCCTTTCATAATCATTCATTTATTTTTTTTCTACTTAATTTTTTAAATTTCTTACTTATTTAAGTGGTAATGGAGGGGTGAAAGACAAATGGGATACACCTTTAGTGTACCCTAGCATTTTCCTTTTTTTATGTTCATTTTTTTTCTCTTCTTTAGCTCTTCTTTTACGGCATCATGTTTTTAGCACTGGTCTCTGTCACATCTAGAGCTAACACAACAATAGTACATCTTGCTTGGAACGTTACTTTTCCAAATTTAAAAGTGTTTCGGGATGTGGTGAGTTTAAAAAAAATAAATGTATTAAATCAGAAGTAGAAAATAATTACTATGAATTTTGGTGAAAATCAATTCTAGAGCATAATTTACATTTCTAAAATCATGATCAATAATTTAAAGCTAATTAAAAACACTTAAAAATGTGTTTCAATGAAGTAGAAGCTGAAAAGTTATTTCCAAACACATTCTCAAATGCCCTGTTAATTATATAGATTTATACAAATAGTACGTCATTATCTAAATCCATTGTTTATGTAATATACGGAGTATATCTTAAAAATGTGGTTTATGGTTTAGATTTATAGAATGAATATGTTAAATAATTATTATATCCGGCCATCTGTCTCTGAGTATTTGTCTAATGTTGATTTTTTGGTTAAAATTAAAAAATTTCATCATTAATTAAATAAAAATGACATTACTTATTGATACAAAAAAATATTAGAATTATTTTATAATTTTTTTTAAATATTATTTTATCTAATTAAGATATCATATATAATATTTGGTTAAATAAGCGCTTTTTGTTTTTGGTCCATTTAATTACTCCTTCCGTTTCTTAAAACCCTTCCGCCCTATTTTTTTGCGCACTTCATTAAACGCTTTTACTCCCACATAAAATATCTAAAATATACCCCACTATATAGTTTATTGCGGGTAGAAGTTGTTTTATGGATATTTTAGACATTTTAGGTGGGATAGAAATATTTTATGAGATGCGCAAAAACTTAAAACGGAAGTGTTTTATGGAATGGAGGGAGTATTTTTTTGTTAATTCATCCTTGCAAAATCTTTTATTTTGAAAATAGTCCTTAGACATAATTTTTAACCCAAACTTGATGAGATTACCCTATACAATTCTCATTTCTTAAATTGTATCTTTACTCGTATTACATCTCAAAATACCCAAACATTTTAGAATATTTTAGGATACACAAACTATGACATGAAAATTGTGTGGTAATTAGAAATGCAATAATAGAATATTGAATACAAAATAAATATGTTATATCAACAAGATAGAAGTGCCAAATACATTTAAACACCATTTTCAAAATAAAAAATTTGAGATGGATGACTTAACAAAAAATTAGAGTAAATTCCTAAATGATACTCCCTCTGTCCCTCATATATCTTTCCAATAGCCCTTTTTTTATCCACAATAGATCTTCTCATTTTATTTTTTAACAATTAAAATACCACAACTACCCCCACTTACTTTATTTATTACACCTCACCCACCTAATTTAATACACTCCACCCATTTTCATTAAGGGTATTATGATAAACTTTCCCTTTTTTCAACTCTCCTTAAAAACGACCAAAAGTCAAAATGAGAACATCTTAGGGCCGGGGAACGGAGGGAGTACTTTCTAATGAGGTCTTTTTTTAATAAGTTTTAATTACATACATGGTACTTTATAATTGAGATTTATTCCTTAAGTACTTTTTTTTTTGTAAAAAAATGTCACCTAAATATCATTTAAGTAAAAGGTATTTTGATGCAGGACAACTTGAATGTCACTTAAATGTCAGCATTTGTGTGACTTTTTTATGATGGACTACTTATGTAAAAAATCTCAATCATAAAATATCATTTAGATAATTATAAATTTTTGAGAACTAATTTAGAACATTTTTTTATTAGATAAATATGCTTTGTCCTATATTTTAATTAATTTAGAAAAGTAGTTTATTTATAAAGACTAAAAATATATTTAATCTTGTATATTATTTAAGTGTAGCTCAAAAATCGAAGACATTCGAATAAAAATAATCAAAACTAAATAAATACTAAAGACTGAAATAATACTCCCTCCGACCATAAATAAATTTCCTGTTCACTATTCATAGGGTCTAACTTTTTTCATTTTGTTGATCTATTTTCATCACTCATATGATAAAATAATGTAGTCATATCATCCCTAGTTTTGTAATCTTTTGATATAGGGCCTGTTTGGGAATAGCGTTAGCGTTTTGAAAAGGTTATCTACGGCCAGCGTTTAGCGTTAGCGTTTTCAAAGTAATCTGCACCGTTAAAATCTTATCCAAAACGCTAACGCTAATATCTAACGCTATTCCCAAACAGGCTCATACTGTCGTTTTTTAATATGTAATATCTATTTTTATATTATTTTTCATATAAAATAATTTAAAAATAATTTCAATCAAATATCATAATGCGTAACAAAAAATTTATTCGTGGACGAAAGTATACTCGTAAAATTTTCTCCGTAAAAAAACAATATCTAAAAATTCAACGGTAATACTCCGTTAAAAAATGGTATTCCAAAGGAAACAAAATGATTGATCAGCTTGGAGCCCTTGGGCCCCAGCGCCGAGGGAGTGCGACCATACAATGGGCCCCACGCAGCTGCTACTCATTTCAGTGGACCCCATTTCATATTTTCATATTCATTCCCTCATCATCTGCTCCGTATTTGCATTTTGTTAGCCTCCCTTTTGTCCTTTGATATACTTTGATTAATTGAATTTATATTTAAAGTTATTTTTTATAGTGTATAAACATCAGTAATGAAGGATTAATTTGGAAACGAAGGAACTCCATTCCATAAATTAAACATTACTAGTATAAATTAGCATTCTTTAATAAAAATTATAACTATTTTCTTCGTTCAAAAATGTTCTTTTCATTTTTTCTTTTCAGTCTATCTAGAGATATAATCTTTTCATTTCTTTTTTTAGTCTACTTTTTATGTATAATTTTAATAATATCATTATATTTTAGAAAAAAGTTCTAAAAATTTGATCTTTCAGAAATTTGTCACATTTTTATTTCTCTTTTGTTAAGCCTGGCAAGTCAACACGTCAAAAACATTTTCTGATGGAAGGAGTAATAAACTAGTGTACAATAATAATTCAACTTTAGCCATTATATATGTATAGAATGATTACAAGAAGTTTTTTCAT